TACAAACAAAACATATTTCAGGGCTGATGAAGACGAATATCGGCAAGTGACAGCACTTCAAGTTTGATTTGTAATTAATAATGCTGTTAAATGGCCAATTTAATTACATCGGAAGCTGAATAATGATCAAATAAGGTCTCGTTGGCAATAAAAACAGGGTAGTGTTAGAGCTAGTGAGTATTGTGAGATGTTAGCAGTCGAAATGCCTTGCAGACCTGAAAACAAAGATGGCGGCTGAAATACCTTCTTATATATTATAATATACTATAATATACTATTCAAAAAAAGTAGGGGATATTTGATTTTGGGGGCATAATACTAAAATATGCAAATGACTACGAAAAAAGTCACTATAGAACCTAACAGAAGAAACATTTCCAGTTACATGTGACGCCCAAACGCACCAATAGCTACCGCATGGAATGCAGGTGATGCTTGGGATCATCATGGGGGTCCAACCCAAGATTTGCACGACTCTGACTTTGAATGTTACAGTCATTGTGGCATTGAATTCCAGGGTGGAAACATCAGTTTAATTGTTTTAGTGACCAGAAAACAAATTTTGATATGCGTCGGCTTACCCAAAATGAAAGGTTACGTGCCCTTGGCATGCTACAGATCGGCACAACACAGGCGGTTGTGGCGCGGACGATGAATGTTTCTCAGTCTGTCATAAGCAGGCTATGGTCCAGATACCGTGATACACAATCTGTACAGGACAGACCACGCTCAGGTCGACCAAGGGCGACAACTCAAGCCCAGGATCAATTTATCTGTACCTTGGCCTTGAGAAATCGTGTCATCACAGCAAATCAGATCAGCGCTCGTCTTCAAACAGACACTGGTGTGAGAGTGAGTGGCCAGACGATTCGGAATCGACTGCATAGGGGTCACCTTCGCGCCCGACGTCCTCGCGTGATCCCTTGTTTGAGAGATCATCACATACAGGCAAGACGTCGTTGGTGTAGGGATCGTCAACACTGGGATAATCGACGCTGGAGCAATGTGATGTTTTCAGATGAGTCAAGGTTCACTGTTGATTTTTTGGACAGACGTAGGAGGGTGTGGCGGCGTCGTCGAAACGAGCGCTTCCAAGACGTTAACGTCATCAGACATGATCGATTTGGGGGTGGTTCTGTTATGGTGTGGGGAGGCATCACTGTTGCTGGAAGAACGGCTTTACATGTTGTTGCAGGGCGTGTTACAGGCCAGTACTACCGAGACAGCATCTTGGCAGTCCATGTTGTGCCGTTCGCACGACGTCATGGCCGCCGTTTCATCTTCCAGGATGACAACGGAAGATGTCACAGGGCCAGGATCGTTACAGGTTACCTCCAACAACAGAACATCACCACATTACCTTGGCCAGCACTGAGTCCCGACCTCTCCCCCATTGAGCATGTCTGGGACATGCTTGGACAGAGGTTACGTCAACGTCAACAACGTCCTGCCAATGTCCAAGAACTTGCTGCTGCGTTGCAACAGGAATGGGACAATCTGGACCAAAATGACCTTAGACGTCTCATTAGGAGTATGCCACGTCGGATCAATGCTTGTTTGGCAAACAGAGGAGGATTTACCCGTTACTGACTTGGTTGTGATGCTGTGGTAACTTTGCTGTTTGACCCCGGGTATCATTTTACCCTTATAATGGTCAGTCTGTGCCTTACGTAGTCTAACGATCATTTGGAATAAATCGATGAATGTGAACTTCATTTCATTTTGTCATTTGTTTCTTCGTCAGTTTCATTAGGTGACTTTAATAACACTTAAAAATCAAATATCCCCTACTTTTTTTGAATAGTATATATAGCCAAGCAGTAGTAAGAAGTTTTATTTTAATCCCTTCAAGTGCCTGTGCATATAGCTCTCACATTATGACTTATACTTTTAAGCCGACTTGTACAAGTGTTTATAACTATCACAGGTATTGTACACAGAATAAACTACACACGTAATATATAACTATCACAGGGATTACACACTGAATACACTAATAAAATAAAAAAGTTAATAACTATCACAGGTATTATACACTCACATGAAGATCTGACAAGTTAGTTATAGTGGGAGTTCATGTCAGGAGTCAAACTAGCGGCTTTTGACCCTATGACGTCAGACATTGATTAATCCATCAGTGTTGATGTTTCTAGTGGTTTACCCACAGTTCTGTGCATCAAAAGGCCAAGAACTCGCCATAACAGACCGTTTCTTTGGCTTATCCCTCACTTCAACCAAAACGCCAGTAATATAACAACTCATCCAGATCCTAGTGTAGTAAAGATAATATAATTATATTATCTATGGCCTGGGTCAGGGAGAGCCATCTTACCATGTGTACTTCTGAGGGCTTGAGCTTGGGTTGGTCAAGGATATCCTGCCATACTTGCAGCTGTGATAGTTGCTTTGGTGAACGACGCAAGAGTGTTGTTAGGGTATTTAAAATGCTTTTGTACGACGACACGTCTGGCGATATCTTGGCCACATCTTAAATTGCTAGGGCCAGCCGATGAGCCACGCAGGGACCTCCATTAAATGGGGACAGTGGTTCTTCAGTAAAGCCACCACTTCGCTTCTCTTCCCCAATATAACGGCAGCCCCATCCGACCCCATACCATACAATTTATTGATATCTAACACTGAGTAGTAAGAGTGAGATTAGTACGTTTAGGGCATAGATATCTCCCGATTTGGTAAATTTCTATGAATATCGGTAAAATTCTAATTATCGCAACAAATCTAATACGAAGAGGCTAAAATCTGTAGGTACGATGTGTTAATTAACAGGGGTGAGAAATTGACTGAGTGGTGATATAATTATCGCTAGGGGTGAAAATCTCGGCGACGGTGTGTTTTCTGTACCGGTATGTTAATTAACGAACGGGTTAAAAACGACTGACACGGTGTGTATTCTTTGTTTGGTGAGTTTTCTCGAAAGCGTGTTATAACTGCACCAAAGGTGTTTTATCACGGACCAACAGGCTTTATCTGACGCGTAGGTGTTAAATCCAATTTACCGTGCGATTTCTTGTTTCCGTGTGTTTTAAGCAGATCGGTCTTTGTTAAGTGTAGGTCTTATACGTGCTGTATTTACATGTGTTCGTTCTTATACGTATTTCATTTCTTGGTGAATACTACATGTTTTATACTTCGTACCATAGTCCGGCTGCAATTATTTATATATTTGTATTTTTTGTGGGTTTAATTTGTTTATATATTATCGTGCGTACCACTGAAGTATAAATGCACGTTATTTACCAATATGCGGACCAACCTCCATTGATATCAGACTAACGAATCTGTTTCGAAAACCCAGTTTATAAATATAAAATCGAGCAATTGATGAAAAACTATTGGTTTCATCATGTCTATATTTACTACACGTGGGCGTTTTAATGCATAAATGTATTGTTTCTTACCTGGGTTGTAAAAAGGACTATCCAAGAAAAATTTAATTTCCACATATATATCAAATGATAATTCACATATCAAATAACACTAATGCAAATAGGGACATGCGCCGGCGGTGATATTGTCCATTGACCTTTGACTTAATATGGAAATAGAGGCTTTACAAGAACAGCTAATTTTAAACACTTGTTAATATTTCTATTGTTTATGATTGTATGAAATAGCCTTATTATTTTTCTCCCGGTACTAATAAACTACGAGTAGAGTGGATCCAATTTTTATTATGTGATTTATCAACGTGATGACAGATCGAGAGCACGGGCTCCATGTGTCTATTTGTAAAATCATGCAATCACCTTTGGGAATCAGCTTCCAGTCTAAAACGACTTTAAAATCTCTTTTTTTATTTGAAAAGATTTTCATAATATGCCGTAGTAATTTGTCATTTTGTTTTATTGTTAATTCTGTTTAATTGTGAACATTTCGTAATCTAAATATTTAATATTTATTCTTGGGTACGGGTTTAGAATAGTGTTATAGCATGATTTATTTGTTAAAGATCTGTTAATTCTGAAACAACAATTTATTGCTGTAGTGATCAATTTCAACATTTTCACTATACATGTATTCTAAAGTCATGGTTTTAAACTTAAATAGCTTCATTTACAATATTTCCGGCCATATATTATGCTAAATTGAGTCCCACGTCATAAAAGTCTTCAACTTTTAGAACCGTCCATAGCACACATTATGTCCAGAATTTGACCAAGGTTCATTCAAGAAAATTATTGTTGTGTTCTGATAAATTCAGTGTACTGGGCCCTGTTTCTCGAAATCTTAACTAAGATAAAACACATTCACTAAAATTGTTGAGCTGGGGCAATAATTAATTTATTACCCCTAATAAAGTCTGGCAATTAACAGTTGTTATATAACATCTAGGTCAACGGTGATCCAATGGTGTTCAGCGAAGCGTACTTCCTGCTCTGATGGCAGTTTGTGTTGTAATATTATGTGACTTGGAAATACGTTTAATAATTTAACAAATTCAAGAAGAAGAACAACCAAAGGCATCAAATTTTCACATACATGTATTTCCAATACGACAATTTTTTTGTTTTGAAATATACTGTAGAAAAATAACTTAGTCCTCTAACTTAAGTACCACATGATAATAATGTAATAGTTAGTATTTCATTGTATTTAAATCTTATAATCCCTCTTGTATGACGGGCGGATGCGGTCACAATGGGCCATTTATATGACTTACTAATTCAATTTATATGACTTACTAATTCCATTTATAAAGCTTTATAATTAATTACTTACTTAGGCACGTGCGAACGCTGAAACCCCTCGAAGCGTGTGACTGAATTGAATATTATTTTCATAGCTTGATAAATGATTTATAAAGTCTTGTAAATAATATGGTAGCTATATAAATCTATTTTCTAAGTCTTATAAATGAATTATCTAACGAACTAAATATTCGGGAAAGTTCGTACATCTGCCCGGAAATTCCCGAGGATGCTTCGGCCAGCCAATCACAGGTCGTCTTACTGAATGGCAGGCCCCTCCCACTCCCGTAAGCGGTTTTCGAGTTGTGTGCGTCGGTGTCATAGGGCCTACATCATCCGACACGATATTTCGGCAAACTCGCAAGAAATTGTGAAAAGAACTACCCCGGTCGGTGGGTGGAGGGGGAGCGGTGACCTTAGCAAGGTAAATTGACGCTAGGATAACTAAAACATGCATAAAACGTATTCTCGTCATTTTATGTTTACAATAGCCGCCATGAAAGGTAAAACACCGCTATATGTAACGAGGGATTTGATTGGCCGATTATTTTCTAAGTTATATAAATGGATTTATAAGACTTGATAAATAATTACGTAGTTTCATAATTATTTATCAAACTATGAAAATAATATTCAATGCAGTCACCCATTTCGATGGGTTTCAGCGTCCACACGTGCCTAAGTAAGTAATTAATTATAAAGCTTTATAAATGGAATTAGTAAGTCATATAAATGGAATTAGTAAGTCATATAAATGGCCCATTGTGACCGCATCCGCCCGTCATACTCTTGTTGTTTTCAAGTACTGTGAACGTATCGGAATCGAAATCCCAGATAGGATATAAATTTTGATATTATATGTAAGATATGCTTACAATTATACTCAGTTTTGATATTATTTGTAAGATATGCTTACAATTATACCCATACTCATCGATCACTTTAGAGAATTTTGGCGCTGGTAAATGTAGCACCTTATTCTCACTCGATAATCGTCGCTATTTGATTCATTCTTGCATTTCCCATCAATGGTGATAGTACAATTTGAAAAATAATATCCGATTAGTCATGTTTGTATATTTTACAAGCCGTATGAAGCCACGGTTTAACTATCAAAATAATTAATTCTCTTCGAAAAGAATTGACGGCCTTTTTGAATATTTCCTTCTAGCTCACTGTTAAATTCCACTTGTTGACCATGTTTCTTTTGAATCGCCCTAGTATTACACAAAATATCATTATGGGAGCAGAGCTAATACGCATAGAAGCGAATGCTTCGGCCCATATCAACTGCCAGTTAAAGAAAAAATAAATAAAGCAGATAATTTATACGTTACAATTTAATTAAAACGTTTAATATATGAAGGCATATGCATATCAATAATGTACCCGGTAATAATAAATAATGGTATTGCTTGTACCTTTGTCTTGTCTATTTTACTTTGAACATTTCTCTGATTATAATATAATCGCTTGGGCTGGGTTTTTTTTTCATTTGAGATACTAACCGAAATTTCCTATGAGAAACAAAATAAATTGTAAACATGTTGATAAAATATCAAGCTTTATTCAAATGAGATGATAGAGAAGTAAAACATACATTTATGTCATTGCAATAAGACCAACACTGAACAGACCACAGTATGTCATTCTTGAATTAAGTGTAACAGGTAAAAAGAGTCACACTCCATCCAACTATTTCAGGAAATCCATTAACAGTGTCGCCTTTCGGTCTGAGATCAAAGGGCAATATTTCGTGTGAAAAGCGTGCTCTCCTGATAGTATAAATTCTATAATAAGGATGAGACTGAATCCACTATTAAGTGATGTGTTTAAATTTAGCCGTTCTCGTAAAACCCATATTTCCATAGGTCGGAATTGTGTATGCAAAGACAAGCTTGTTACACAAAGTGTGATGGAATCAGAGCATACCAGAAGATGTTCAACGGTCAGCTCCACGTGTTGGAGGCGGACGTGAGTTCCTATTATTAGACATGATTAGAGTTATTTGGTATGTGATTTATCTTTTGTTATATAGTGATGGAATTCTGTTTCCTTGGATAGCCCTATTTACGACCCAGGTAAGAAATACATTTATAAAATATAACGGTGACGAAACTTACAGGTTATCATTAATTGCGAGATCTTTTGTTTATAATTGTGCTTTCAAAACAGATTAGAGGATCTGATATCAATAGAGATTAGAATATATCGGATAATCATATGAAGGTTTAGCGGGATATCGGTATAAATAACGATATTGCATGCGACTGATTTTAAGACACACGCATTTATACTTCAGTGGTACGCACAAAACCCACAAAAAAGACAAATATATAAATAATTGCAGCCCGACTATGGTACGAAGTATAAAACACATAGTATTCACCAAGAAATGAAATACGTATAAGAACGAACAAATGTAACAACAGTACTATAAATCCATGTAAAAAGACCTACACTTAACAAAGACCGATCTGCTTAAAACACACGGAAACAAGAAAACGCACGGTAAATTGGTTTTAACACCTACGCGTCAGATAAAGCCTGTTGGTCCTTGATAAAACAACTTTGGTGCAGTTATAACACGCTTTCGAGAAAACTCACCAAACAAAAAATACACACCGTGTCAGTCGTTTTTAACCCATTCGTTAATTAACACGGTACAGAAAACGCACAGTCACCGAGATTTTCACCCCTAGTGATAATTATATCACTACTCAGTCAATTTCTCACCCCTGTTAATTAACACACCGTACCTACAGATTTTAGCCTCTTCGTATTAGATTTGTTGCGATAATTAGAATTTTACCGATATTCATAGAAATTTATCAAATCGGGAGATATCTATGCCCTAAACGTACAAATCTCACCTTTACTACTTCTGAGTGTAAAGACACTGATTTAAATAATGCAATAACTTTGTTAGTTAAGGAAATTGCAGATGCATCATGCACATGCACTAGTCTTAAAAAAATTGTCTTCAAGGCGCCAACCTTCAATAATTTACATAAATGATCAAATGTTTCTCACTGGAGAGGTCAGTACTCTCATCTATGGCATCATGTAAACTGGACGATATAATTTCAATAAATTCAAAGGCTGCAGTTCTATCTCTATACAACTTAATCGTCATCTGGCATCCATTCAACTCTGATAAATTATTGAGGGAAGCAGCTTTTTCAACAACCTTGATATCCCCAATGTTCTTATACCGTTCTACTCCACTATACCCTGGGTTAATCCATAGGGTTTCCACAATTTCAATCAAAAAACAGTTTACAAACCAGTTTTTAAAAGGGTAGATAACCTTATTCATGTCTTTTTACTGAATGATTTATGTAAATAATGTATATATTTCTAATTCATTTATCAAAATCTGTAGTATGTTTCGCGGATTTCAAATATGTATAACATCTATATGTTTGACTTTTGTTATTATTATTACTATTCATTCTTTTTCAGAAATGTTTCATTCCGTTATGTTTATTGTTATTGAACTCTTACTTGGCATTTTGATTCACAATAACTCGTGGAATAAAACTCTGGAAACGAATGAATGATTCTCATAAAACTCTTGAACCTACATATATAGTACTATATCAATCTGTTTCACAGAGCATCACGAAAGTCTTCTAATATCTCTGTAATAGATGACTGCCTTCAACACGTGACATCACATCATGCGACATCAATCACTGGCATGTGCATTGTTTACATAAGACGTTACTGGTTCGGACAAAATGCGCCACTTACTCATTTTAATACCCATTTACACCACATAGGAAATAATTTTTACCTACAAATACTTCAACCGTCTTTATTTATTTTTCTAATACATAAAAAAAAAGTTTTAGAATTTAATTTGTCAGAGGAAAAAAAAGTTAATATTTGTGGCTCATTAAGTCACATCGATGTCATCCTTATCAGTGATTGTAGCAGCCTAGCGAATATTCACTGCGGATCAGTGTGTAATATTATATAATTTGTTGTTAATACGCATTTAGAATAATTTGAACTTCTCTCATTTACGCCAACTTCTAACCTTGTCTGATGAGAGTTACTTCCCTTTGCCAACTTTCTTTGCAATTAACGATTTGTCGATAAAAATAGCACAATCATCAAGGGCAGATAACTTGAAAACGTGCCCCTCCCCCCCATTAGTTTAAGTGTGATTTCAATTGCAGAAAATCAATATTCCAGATTTAAATTACAAACAAATTTCTAAAACTGGATTTGATTCACAGGATACAGTCTTTTGTGATAACAATGAATACATGTCAGAATAGTCATGTCCTCAGATTTACGCATACTGATTCTGATCTCATCAGATAGAAATAAACAGTGTATATTGAATCTAGATTTAGATTCATGGCAAGTAATTTAAAACTAACCTTAAAATGAAAAGGATTTTTCAACATCTCAACAGGATCTTCCACAAAGTAATCTTCATCAAGTGGTTTACCATCAACAGTACATGGGGCAACACTAACATATAAATAACCCTCTTCTTGACCTTTATAATCTGTTACTGACAACTTATCATCAAAATCGAGAGCATATGACAGTGATTGTAGAAATACATTAGCTGAACCAATTAATACATCTTCCGGTGGTTCCCAGAATGGATCTTGTTTCTTCTGTATAGATAATACATCTTCACCATCAAGATATTTCTGGTACATTTCCTAAAAAATTTTAAGTGCAGGCTGAAAACTCCAGAAACATGGTAACAAGTTTATTACTAGCACATTTATGCATTTATACAACCATTTTTTGTCAGTGGGAACCTGGCTTTAAAAAATATCAAATCTTCCTCTTGGTATATTTATTGCATACCTGTATCAGATATCTTCTATTCATAAACTTTCCTTTATCCCATAACCATACATTACCATTAACTAAATCTTTCATTTTGACACTAACACTATATATATATGTAAAAATATAATATAACATAATGTATAAAAACACTGCACAGAAATATAACAATTATATTAAAACACACTTATATTAACACATAGCAATGCAAAATTGTATCAATAAGAGAAAAGCACAAACAATTCAAACCGGGGAAACAAACGGGAAATAATCTGTTGGTCGAATTACACAAAATGGAGTAATAACCATCAAGATAATTTATGATAAGACAATATCTTATAGTTGGTAATAGTAGCATTTTAATACCAACACAATATTTTTGTGATGTTGTCGAAAAATCAAAGAGCTAAGAGACATATTACACTAGTAATGCTTTATTTTACTCACACAGATTGTTTTGCTTTATTACCATCCGCTTCCTGTGCTGAAGCTGAGATTAAAACAACTTCAAATGATTTGTGTTTATTTAATTCTTCTGAAACAGCATTCACCTCCGATACCATTGGTAATAATTCTAAAATATTCTCTTGAGCTATTTGCTGA